CAGACTTTGAGAGACTAAGGGGAGTCAGTGAGGGCTATCGTCATCTCTAGAGGACATCAGGGGAGAGAGATGGCATGTGGCCAAAGACTTGACATTTCCCTTACTTGGCTGTATAGCACTGAGTCTGGGTTCGAATGATGGGGGTGAAGGATAACATGAAATCATTTCAGCCCCTACCCTTTGGCATAAGCTTCTACCAGACAGACCTCTGCTGTTTTGAGCTGCAAGGGAGTCTCACCTGAGGAGAAAACACCTCTCCCATCCACATGCCCAAACCAAAGCACATCTGAGATTTCCAGGGGCCAGAGAGAGCCTTAAAGGGCTCTAAAACTACTCTGGGCCTAATAGCCTGAAAGCCTCCTATAACACAGGGCTTCCCATCTCATCTGTAAAATGGGCTGATAGGTATCTGTTTGGTTGCTGTGCAAATTAAAGAAGTAATACACTTAAAGCACTTAGTGAGTACTCAATAAATGGCAGCTATTGTAGTGATGGAGAAATTAAGTCATCAGTGTACTTTCAGATATAGAGTCCCAGGTGAGAGCAGATTATAATATATCTTTTATTTATGTATTTATTTTCATGGAAGTGGAACTTTATTTGAAAGACTAACCAATACACAACTGACAGTTACTTAGACTTGGATATTTAGTCAATATTTTATCCAAATTTAATGAAGTAACTTTGCCATACAATATATCTTTTAGACATCCACCTTCTTTGTCTCCCCGGGCCAGCCCTTCCAGAGACAGCCAAACACAAGAGGACAAGTGGATCCCACTGATAATACTGTCCTTCAAAAGCTTCAAAAAATAAAAATCAATCCTGGTGTTCCAAAAGTTTCCCTCTGAGCCTCTAAAGACGTGTGTCTGAGGCCACTCAGTTCATCTCACCCTGTTCCCAGTGACAGGGGTCAACGGGAGCCGAAGAGAGAGCGAGCAGGGGCAGGAATTTAAGCCGAAACCCAACTTAGCCGGTCACCAGCTTTCCATGTACAGGGGAAGCAACTTGGCATGATCCCCAAATACATAATCACTTTGCATAGAAATAAACGCACACTGATCCAGAGGTCCAAAGGCAGCAAGAATCCCAAATCTTTCAGAAGTAAAAGAGCTTATCAAAATGTGTTCCTCCTCCATTCATGAGAATGAAAATCTTTGTGTAGTTTTCAAGTATTTTTGATATGATAAAATGGCAATGGTACATGGCAGCTATGCCCCTGGAGAGTGGCTGAGCAGAATGTCAACCAGGGGAGCTCAGGTGAAGGTGTGGAATAGAAACAAGAGCTGGCTTGACCCTCCCCTCGGTCTCTTATCTGCAGTATTCCTGATGGGTAGTAAGAATTTGCTGGTCCTGAAAGGAACACAGGCTGTCAAAACAAGGAGATCTGGATACTGCTTTTATGGGACTGATGGGACACAGAACTGGTTCAGGTAGAAAAGGGGGGAAAGGGTGTGACTCCAGGACAGACATAGCAGCATGAGGCTCAGAAGAAAAACCTTCGGGATCAGGTGGGAAAGTCCCTATCTCATACAAATGGCCAGGGACTAGCAGGAGGCCCAGGACAAACTGAAAAATGAAAATCCCAACAGGCACAATATGGGAGAGGGAGAGATCTGTGGCCAGGGATTGGACAGGCAGCAAAGACTCAATCCACCAGATCCCAAAATAAGGCCAGCTGCAATCTTCCTCAACCATTTAAATCTTCACAAGCTCCAGTCTTTCCAATAAAATGGAGATAATAACAGCACACACTTCTGGAAACTGTTTTGAGGATGACATAAACAGAATGTAGGTAAAATGCTAGGGACAGGGGCATCAATACTTAACAAACGGCAGCTCTTGATAGTAGGAAAAGTTATAAAGCTAATCTACTAGTGTGCAATCTCTTCTGAACTTGTGCCTATCTTGGATTCATTTTTTAAAGTAAAACTACCCTTTCTAGACTTCAAACTGCTTGAAAAAGTGTCAGAGTGAAGAACAGGTACTTTAAGGACTCCGTTAACATAGACCAAGGGATACTGTACTAAAGGGTTGCAGGTGACAGAGGCAAGACCAGCTCCAGACTCTGGAATCAGACGTGTGTCTCCTCTGTGCCTCTGGCTGCCGGGACACTCAGCACCAAATCTGATCCCCAGACAGGGTAATTATATGCTGGACAGTGGGAACCAGGGGAGACAGGATCCACATTCTTTCCCTGGGTATAATCTCACCAAGACCAAGAGGTTTCCCCTCTGGATTTCCACTAGAGAGGCTCCATCAGGATTTCTCTTCTGTCTACTCTTCCAGCAAATGATTCTAAGTTCCTTTTGCATCAAGTCAGAGCCCCCAAAAATCACATACCTGGATCTTGCCAGCTTAGCCACTGGCCTGATTACCTTCACCATGTCACAACTTGGCACTCAATCCTCCCAATTCATAAAGGTTTTCGTGGCTGATGGATCAATGTTCACTATACCCCTGAATCTTTTGTATAAACTCCTACATGAGAAAATTATTTTGGGAAAATGTGCCAGGAAGAATTTTGCCTCCCCTCAGGAGCTGGTAGATTTTCCCCTTTCTGATCAAGAGAGCTATGTAATTAACCTGGTTTTCATTTTGGCTTGGCTGCCAAGAAGCTCAAAACCAAATGTAGGGCTCCATCAGAGCAAATAGATTAGCCACTTCTTTCTTTTTCGTGTCTCAATTTTATATTTATGTTTGTTAACTTTCTTGTATAAGGTGCTTTCACCCTTCGTAGACAACGGCAGGGTGGGTATCAAGTAAAAGTGAAACGTTCTATACCTAATATTTTCACCTTTTCACACCCTGCCTTCTCTAGGAAAAATTCCATGAGCATCCCAGTCCACAGGGATACCTCCCTGCCTAAATTCTAACAGCTCTCATAGTCCCTTTATGCAGTGCTTTCAAATAAATGCAGCCTCTTACCTGTGCACTTAACTGGCACCTAAGCTAGGACCCAAGGACTGTGTCCTGCACTTTTTAGCAACTCCCATAAGATCCAACTAGAGTCACACATTGAGAACTAAAAAATATCAAGTGCTTGGTAGATCATCCAGTTCAGAGACTCTGAAGGGTTTAACCCAGGATTTCCCTAAGATTATCCACCTCCCCACCCCTAACTCAAAATGCTGAACGCCTGACATTCACTCAGACTTTGAAGAGTACATGATGCCATGGCAAAGATGATCCCTGCGAATGCTTTTAGAAGATTACTCACCCACACTGACTAGCTATTTCTGTCTTACTCCTAAGAGCATAACCAAGGCGCTTCTATACTTAAATCAAACGAATGTGATAACTGACATTTCAGATTACAGCAAAGAGGAGGCCTGCCCTGAAAGAGCAGGAGCTAATTGCTGAACTCGAGGAGGAACAACAGGCCTTCTCCCAGCCGCTGCCACCCCTGCTTCCCCAGGAAGCTCAGGTGCGAGGGCAGAGGCCCAGCCTCCCAAGGGCTTAGCAGCGTGGAAGCCTCCAGGCACCAAGTGGCCAGCTAGCCTGGGCTCCTTCCAACCCGGTCCTGACATGATAAATCAGAGCCATCTGGCTGGCCCCTCTTCTGACACACGTGTCAGTGCCTCCCTCCATCTCCATGCCCCATCTGCCTAACGCGTTCCTTCTGAAGAAGGAGTTCGCTCCCTTTCAAAACGGAACAGCTCATGTCAGAGTAAATGGATGTACTTTACTTCCCAAGAGGTACTTGGGGAAGTACCTCTCAGCTGGCACTGACTGACACTGTCTCATTCCAAAATACTCATCTCCTGCATGTGTCGAGAGCTGGGACCCTCACTGTGAGGCCCAAGCAGGAAAGGGCGCCGTATCCAATGAGAAGAGGAGAGTTTGGAAACTCGCAAAGTCTCCCTTATTTATGTATCAATTTTTTTAAAAGAGCTTAAATATGCTTATTTGCTTTAAAACCTTCAATTTTCAAAACTGGCCTGAAATTGTTTATGAAGTTATCATGCAATAGTTGGAATAATTCTGTAAGTTTCTTTGTCCAAACATTGTAATGGGGGTAACACGAAAAATGAACACTTCACAGGTATTATTTCAAAAACATATCATTTCAATATACAATTTTATATTACTGATACCAAGATTTGTATAATTTCATAATGCAATCTCTAGAACCATACATGTGTCTTTGATTTGTTTCATTGCCAGGATATTATAAAGAAAATTGAAGGTAGCAATATGCCTTGCTCAATTTACTCGACTCTAGTCCATCAAGAGCATACCTTGAATTTCTAACAGCCAGAAAATGTTACTGAAATGCAAGTCCATGTGCCTGACACAGTGAGGCCAAATGACACCAAAACGTTGGAGTTTGGAACGAGAAATGTTTATCATAGGGCCATGCAAGGAAACGAGTGGCTCATGCCATAAAAACCCCAAATGCCCCTGAAAGCTTTCAGCAAAGCCCTTTTGTAGGAAAGGTAAGGGTGGGGTGTGGTTAGCTGTTGCAAACTTGGTGTCAAATCCTTTGTTCTTGAGGTCAGGTCACGGTCAGGTAAGGATGTTCCTGTAAATCTTGACCAAACAAATGTTATTCCCTGTTCTGATAAGAAAGGGCCAGGTCCCAAGGCACAACTGCCATCGTCTGAGGTCCAGGTCGTGGCTGAGAGGAAGCCGATCTCAGTTGGCAGCTCCCTCAGGGTCAGGTCCCCAGATCCTGCCCAGAAGTCATCGCCAAGGGAGCCAGGTACCCAACCCAACTAGCCCTCCGCTCCTCAGGCCACCCAATGGAGGAGGCCAGGACCCACAGTCTATGACCCAAGCAGACTGCCACTGCTCTTAGGTTGCAGAGACAGAGATGGTGGAGAGGTACACCACTGCCTCAAGGCCTGGACCCAGCCAGTGGATAACCCTGATGAGGGCTCTGGAGCCCTGCAGGACACAGCCCCCAGCCTGATACATGGGCGCTCCAGCTCACCTGCTGGCCCAAGACCAGATAAACTGAGGGTCCCCTGGAGAGCCGGCCGAGATATGCCTCTTACCTCACTTTCCACCTGAAGACCACCATTCTACCAACCATTGGCTGAATTACCTCATTAAGGGTTGCTCTTTGACAGTTGGTGGTTTGTGGGCGGGGCCCACTGCAGTACCAACCAATGGCTCAGCAGGACCACTAACGGTCTCTCGTTGACAGTTGGTCGCTTGGGGGCAGGGCCCACTGTGGCACTGACCAATGGCTGAGCAGGACCACTAACGGTCTCTCACTGACAGTTGGTTACTTGAAGGCAGGGCCACTGCAGCACCAACCAATGGCAAAGTGGGACCAGTAAAGGTCCAGGGGTAACTGTTGCCTGGTAATGGGGTGTGGGGTAATGCAGCACAGTGACGGCACTGTGCTAAGGGCTGCACTCGCCTGCATTCTATTACAAGAATACTACCTATACAAATTAGTTTCAGTATTAGTTGTATGTGAATCTTCTTTATAGTTACGTAAATATTTTAATTTTCTTAATTTCTTCATATTTTATTAGAAATTAAATTTTGTTACATATTTCACATGATTTTTTTAAATTAGAGAAACACTTTTCTCTAAATTTTGAAATAGTATATTTTAGGCTGACTAAAAGCATCCAAATTAGGTTGTTTACTATTTTTTAATTTGAGTATAGTTTATTTACAGTATCATGTTAGTTTCGAATATAGAATACAGCAACCCAGTTATTTACATATATACATATATATGTTCTTTTTCAGATTCTTTTCCCTTATAGGTAATCACAAAATACTGAGTATAGTTCCCTGTGCTATACAATCAATCCTTGTTTGTGATTTTCTAAGTTTCCTTTAAATGACTGAATTCACTTTGCCATTTCAAACAACATGTAAGAGGCAGGAGATGCTTAAATCTCAAAAAGTACGAGCTTTAAAGACAAGGAGGAGGGCAAAAACTTGTACATAAATGTTCAAAGCAGTATTATTCATAATAGCCCAAAGGTGGAAAGAACTCCACGAACTGTCCATAAATTGCTGAAATGATGAATAAAATGTATTATTGCATTATACCCATTATGATGGAAAAGTATTCAACCATAAAAAAGGAACAAAGCTTTCTTGATACATGCTACAACATAAATGAACCTCAAACACAACATACTAAGTAAAATAAGCCATCGACTAAAAGTTAGTATTCAAGATCCTGCCCAAAAGCAGATAATGATGATGATGATGATGATGATACAGCAGTAACAATAACATTTATTGAGCACTTAATATATGTCAGGCATGATTCCAAGTACTTCTGGTACATTAATTCATTTCACGTTCACTGTAATCCTATGAGATCTGGACTATCTCTCAAATGAGAGAACTGAGGCACAGAGAAGTTAGGTAATTTGTCCAAAGGTTGCCCAGTTTCTAAGTGTTGTGTATTCAAGATACATAGCCAGGCTGTCTGGTTCCATCACCTATGCCCTTGCCCACCAGCCCATCCAGCCTTACTTCTTGATATTAGCCCTTCTTAAACTACACCCTCAGCCTTACCTACATGGCCTCTCCTTTGAAGTTCAATACAGCTTGTGGATTCTATCTTTTAGGCCTTCCTCATTTGGCACCTCTGTGCTTTCAACATCCTCTCCTTTCAGTGATGTCCATCTTCGGTCCTACATCCACCCAGAGCTTTCCCTGACACCTCTCAAAGGCAGTTCCTTTTGTTTTCACCAGTATTAGCTTCTATCAGAGCTTCCCTTCATTGTGCTCAATTTCAACAGTGGCCCTTCCTTGCTACCCTAACCTCTTTGAAATTGTCCTTTTTTCCTTTATAAAGAAAAAAGGATTGATTTACCTCCTTTATAATTGATTCACTGAAATGAATCCATTCTAGTCAGGAATGGGTAAGCTTGCAATTATGGATTGTTTGATTGAATGGCAATGAAACTCTCAATCACCACTTTTATTTATTTGTAGTAACTTTATTGAGGTATAATTAATAGAAAATAAATTGAATACCTTTGAACAGCCAATTTTGTAAGTTTTGATATATATATCTATTCCTGTAAAACCATCACTATAATCAAGATAATGAACATATCCTGCAGCCCCAAAATCTTCATCCACCTCTAAGATATCTTCCCCTTGCCCCTTCTGCTGTTTTGCTTTCTGTCACGATAGATTACTTTGCATTTTTAAGACTTTTGTAAGAGTGGTATCATAAGACATATTCCTTAATCTAGTTCTTTCTACCCAGTATAATTATTTTGGGAATCAGCCATTTCTTCTTCTTTACTGCTCAATAGTATTCCATTATATGGGCATACCACAGTCTGCTTATCCATTCATCTCCTGATGGACATTTGAGTTGTTTCCAGTTTGGGAGTATTACAAATAAGGTTGCCATGAATGTCCCTGTACAAGATCTTATATGCACATATGTTTCACTTCTCTTGAATAAAATACCTATGAGTGGAGTGACTGGATCATATGATAGGTTTATGTTTAACTTTTTAAGAAACTTTTGAACTGGTTTCCAAAGCAACTGTATAATCACCACTTTTCTAAGCCTGAAACTTTACATCTTTCCGTCATCTCAAACCCACCTCAGTATTTCTTTTCTAGCTAAACCATCAAAGCCCTGGGCCAGAAGCCTCTTTACCCTCTTCTTTCATCCTGCTCCATTATCTGGTATTTGAAGACATGTTCTTTTTCAAAATCCAAAAACGAAGATAATAGGGTGGCTCTCCGTCTGATAAGTAAATGTATATCTCGGCTTCAACCTGACTCACCCCCATCAGTCTCACCAGGAACTTGGAGTGAGCATCATGCTTTAAGAATTTTGAAGCCACCCTTCCCTGTGGTCAGTCTACATAATTCTTGACAGGTCACTGTATGTCTAGTAAACACCCAGAAGCGGACGGTTCCAAACTAATTAGCCACACCTTTTTATTCCACCCAGCAGTAGAAATCCAAAGTCTCCCCTGATCTTTCCACCACCAAACCTGTTCTCTCCCTTCCTCCTTTTCCTCCTGCTCCTCTTTACCCTTCCCAATTCTCCACATGCCAATCAGTTCCAACTCCCTATAGGAGGATTCTCCAGATGATTCCACTGCCCAAGGAGCTCTCCCTCCCCTAATTCAAAAAAAAGTCACTGTGTGAGCCATTCCTTTAGCACTCCAGAAACATAGTCTCGCATTTCACTGGGCAACTAGATATGAGTCCCTGTTAGTATGTGTAAACCACAGTGCCAGGGCTAAGGAGGAAAAGAAAAACCAAATATAATTGCTATCCTCGTGCGCCATAAAGTACAGGTCAGGGATAAGACATAATTACAATTGAAATATTTCTAAGCAGCATGGTAACTGCCATAAGATATTTAAGCCAAATACCGTGGAGGTCTGCAAGGCAGGAAAAGGTGAGGAACAAGATGTGGACAAGAGTGTCCCGTGAAGAGAGCAGCCAGAAGAAGTCATGGTAGAATGAAGCACCCTATCTTGGGCAGGTTAGATGTACTGACTTTCAGAACCATTTCTGAGCTTTTGTATTGTGTGCTTAACCTAAGTCACCACAAAGATACCCCCCTTCTCTCCATTTCCTGGGCTACAGTAATGTATCTGCTGCATAATTACTGAGTGCCACTGTGTGCTAAATAGCAAGATGGTGAACATCACTGCCCTGAGGCTCTTTCTGTCCAGAGGACGATAAGAGAGAGGCAATATCCCTTTATAATCCAGTGCGGTAGGTGTTCTGGTGGAGCATACTGGATAGATGCACAGAGGGGGCTGTCAGGGAATCGGTGAGGCAGCACAGGAAACTGGGCAGGGCTGAAATGAGGCCGACAGTCAAGCTTTCTCCTCTCTCTTCCAGGCCCTCCTTATGGGTCAGCTGGGGCATCTCCATGCACTGTGGGGCAAAGTGTTGCTGCTTGGTCCTGAAACTTGAACTAGTAGTCCAAAGCTCCCAGAAGCTCCTGACAATCAGGTCCCTGTCCAGAAAGGCCCTCCCCTCCGGGCAGCCTCATGAGCCTATCCTCAGCCCAGCTTGAAGTTGGCAGCCCCTCTTTGCACCACGCTGTGGCCCATATGGTGGTACAGCTGATGCTGCGTGACGCAGAACAGCTCTGCTTTCCAATCCACGTCAGCCCCAGCCACGGGTACACTGTGGCATTTAAATTGTAGCAAGGGACCTTTGATTTCGATGGGGAAGCTAAATTAGAAACTGTAACATGTTTGAAACACCTACGTGAAGAATAAGCACGGAGGCAGGGCTGAGAGGGAGCCAGGCACAGCACATCAATATTTATTCATCATACCTCTGGCAAGGAACCAGGCCACCCAAGGGGACTAGGTGTGTGTGAGCTCCCAGGGCCTGGAGCTTCTCCCTGCAAAGCCTGGATGGAGGCTGGATTATTAAGAGAGGGAGAAAGAAAAGCCAGCGGGGAATAAAACACACATCCCAGACACTCTAGAACACCCACAGTCAAGAGGCCTTGGGGCCAAGACTCCCTTGCTGACCCTGGGCAACTAAGCTGCTTTATAAACATCTTCTAACAGATACATACTCCCACATGAAAGCAGCTCACGGATCTGGAAGTCACACGCCTGGCCTCCTTGCCTCTGCAGATCAAAGAAAAGAGAGGAAAGTAAAAGAGCATCTGTTTCTAAGACAGAGACGTCTCTAAGTCCCTGCAAGAGGAGGCACTCTTCTCACAAACTAACTCAAAATTCTCTTTCCCGACTTTAGATGTACTTCATCAGCTTTTGGTAACCAACAGCAGCTATCTATCCCCAACCCTCTGAAGATCCCCTGACACAAATAGCAAATTCCAAGGGAAAGGTACCTAATAGTCAATGGCAATGTGGACACAGACCTTTTTTGCATCCTGATTCAACAGGAAAGACTTTCTGGAACAATTGGGGAAAATATGAATATGGTTTCAGCATTAGATGATATTGAGGCATTGCTATTGGGTTTGTGAGTTGTGACAATGGTCTTGCGATTATGCAAGAAGTGTCTTTATTTTTTAGAGATGCAGTTGGAAATATCTGGGAGGGAAATGTTATGATGTCTGGGTTTGGTTTTAGAATACTTCCACCAAAAACAAGATGAAGCAACAATGCTAAAAATCTAGATGATGGGTAAATGGAAGTTTGTTTTTCTACTTTCCCAACTTTTAAAGATGCGAATGTTTTAATAAGAAAGTTTTTAAAAAAGAAAGCAGGCAGGGAAGAATTCTACAGGCACAGCAGCCAGTGTGAGGCAAACCACCAGACCTCAAGGGAAGAGATGGAAAATGTCAAACGCAAACCAATAACTCAAATAGCCTGGACCAGCCACCAAAGGGTCTTGGACATCC